CCCACCCCACGCCCACACCCACACCCTATCCAAGTCACAATCGATTAAAACAAGTTGATCAACGGTAAACCTATCAGAGGTCCAACTAGGCCCACGTTTTGCAGGCCTACACCCTCCTCGGCCTGTCTATGCCTGTCATCTTATTTCCTCGGGCTGGCGTACCAGCCTGTCATTTTCTTCAGCCTGCCTGGCAAGGCCTGTCTAGCTTTTTTAAAGCCAATATAACTATAATAATATGATATAATTAAGTATTAATCTACATAGAAAGTCCAGCAAGTTAATGGAATCAGTTTAGATGACACAAGTAAAAATTTTCTGATGTGAATATTCAAGAAAATATTTAATAGAGTTCACTATAGAGAGGTGATTCTCTCTTATCTGTGCAACAGAGCATATAGGAAAAGGAGTAGAACAAAATAAAGTTGACCACAGGAAACTTTTTTCAAGTTGTTCGAAGTCAGAAAAAAACCATTTGTATGCCATTATCAGAAGGCTTTCGCTAAGAAATGATTGACTTTGAACCAAAATGGCTCAGTATGAATTCAGATTATTCACTATAATGAGATGTTCACTTAGTAGAGATGTTGATTGTATAACATTTTACTCTACATTTAATATGAAGTGAAAAATATAAGTGTCGAGGAAAATAAAGAAACAGATACACATCAATGTTGAGAAAAACAATCTGTTTTTTTCTTCAAAAATATTTTCGAAAAATCTGACAGACAAATGTCACTCATAGTATTATAAGCGAGAGGGTAGGTGTGGATGTGTGGGATGTGGGTGTGGGTGGGTGTGGCTGTGGGGTGTGGGTGTGACGTGGTGTGGGTGTGTGGGTGTAGGTGTGGCTGTGGGTGGGTGTGGCTGTGGGTGAGTGTGGCTGTGGCTGTGGATGGGTGTGGATGTGCGTGTGAAAGAGTAAGTTACCTCTTAGCCTACATCTACACCCACACCTCACACCCATACCTACACCACCCACGCCTCATCAAGAAAACATCTGATTGGCTCAATTTCTGCCTTCTGAAATCCTATTGGTTGATTGCGGACGCAGAAAACATATGTTTGGGCTTTTCAGTAGAATTTTAATCGGAAAAAACCAATCTCTGCGACGAAGTCTGTTAGGCTCAGAGAGGTTTCCAGCTTGCGAAAGGTTGAAAGAACATTTTTTCTTCCTGTGCGAACGAACGAATGTAACAACTCATTTTTCGTAAGACTCTCCTTTCAGTAGAGGGTATTAAACAAAGAGAATACATTTTTAATTATGCTGGACAAGAAAAAATATATGATCAGTTTCTATTGATGAACGCGAGCCTCGATTATAGCAGCGTTTATTACAATGAGTATCTATTACAAAGAATAATTTATCAATGATTTACTTGTCGTTTTTGTTCGTTTCGAATCATGTGAACCTCTGAAAGAAGAGAAATATCTGTCGTTTCCTTATTGTGTTTTTTTTTTGCTACAAGAAATATTATTTTAAAATGCAATAAAATTTACATGATCTGTTCTTTAAACAACAATGGTTCGCCAGCAATAATAAAATCAACGATAACACCATGTAAAAATGTGGTATCAAGCTCATGCCAACTTTGACCTGTCACATAATTACAAAGTTCTTGTATTGATAATGTTTGAGTTTTATGTAGAAATAACTCGTTTTGATATTGTGTGGGTTTAGAAGTCGTTTGAAACGGACATTTAAATCTTTGAAAAAGTTCTTCTCGTAAAGACTTGGCACCACGTAAAAATTTCACATGTGTAGGATGATTTCCAAGTTGAGTAATCAGACAATAAGTAGTATTATCATTTTCTTGTTCCTCATGTTGTTTTTGTGGATTCGTCACATATTGATCATGATATGTAGCAACAATGTGTGCATCTACTAAATATCCCATCAATAATTTGTGATGCGGTGGCCAAATATGACGACTGGTTACACGAGAAATCTCATTGCTATTGGCAGCTAACAATCTATCTGATTCGTCAATGGCTACTCGACATAGATCAAGAACATTGTATTGTTTATCTCTAATATTCACATGTTTATAGTTCTGTTCAATGTAATCCAATAAATAATCTGTTAATTGTTGAGTAGACGACAACTGTATTAGTGAAACGTCTCGCCAGCGACCAAGACTACTAAAACTACCATGTTGTTGTAAATACCAGTCGACGATCACATATTGTCGGTCATGAGAAGAGTCCGATGAAATAGTATCAGTCATTGAAGATTCTAACGTTTCATTAAGATGTTTTGAATTCATTCAAAATATCTAAAACTATTAATGAATATTGATAATGATCATTGAAAATAAGTTCCTGATTGTTTTATTTTCATTTTAATGAGTTCATCAATCAAGTTGAGTTATTTCCACTACACATATACATACACACCTACACTGTTTTATCTTTTCTTTTTTTATGCAATATATGCATTACCTGTTGATAGACACCTTCAGAATATATATACCATATTGGATAAAAAGGGGTAGAAAAGCAAAGATTTTCAATTGGTCTACGAATCAAACCACGTAACGTGAGATAGAATTACTAGTAGATGGCAGAACAAGACAACACAAATTTTTCTATCTTTCTTTTTATATTTTTGTCACTAATTACATTTAGCAGTTTTTCAACATTTTTATACGATAAAAATTTGTTTCTTTCTCAAAATTTTGGCTCGAGCATATGTATAATAATATTTTTTTCTTTTGACATCAATAATAATACCTGACAATCAATAAAACACATGCCAAAGCTACGATACACTTCATCTCGAAATGGTTTTAAGTTAATAAATCACTCAGAGCAATAATTCTGTTTTCTGGATTCGATTTTAAAGAGATATGGCATTTACGAAAAGGTCTTTCCCAATATTTAAGATTCTACTAATAACTCAAAAACAGCTACTCTTCAAGAACAAGAAGTAAACAAGTCTAGAAAATCGTTGCCGAGTGGTAGTAGCATACCGATGACTTTGAACTTGTAGTTTTTTTCATAACTGAAGGCAAAGATGTGTTCAGGTCCATTTTTCTTCTGTAAGAAGAATACTGTATAGATAGTAGATTTTAGGGTTCGTGAAGACTTTATCGAATTTCATTTTAAGTTTTAAATTATAATTGATGATATGTTTTCAGCAGTTCGCCTCAAAATTGATGCACGAAGAACGTAACTTGAAGTCTATTTTGTGAGCTTCTTCAACACTAAGTTTACACCTTAATTTAACTGATCAATTTAGGTATGTGAAGTCACGATTCAACGTGCTCATTTGTGTACAAGCTCCTTTTTTTTCTAAGTAAAAATCACAGAAAAATACATGTAGGCCTTATTCAAATTCGTCTAGTTTCGCTGAACATATTCTTTTTTCTTATAGGATAAGAGAAGTTATTATTAATGTAGCAAAGAGGGAGCAGCGGGAAACTCCTACATTTGATTCTTTCATCAAGGAATAACTATTTAGAGACAGTCACGATTCTTCATGAATTTTCATCAGATATGTTCAAGATCAAAGAATTCAAATCTGTAATCAGCATCTTGAAACTATTTACTTAATTTTTCGATCTCAAAAGAATTTGATAAAACTGTATAAAAGTTGATGATTTTCCCACGATGGCTATTCACTGACGATACAATCAGCACATCGATTTTTGTGTTATCTCGTTGTCTGTTACCTTTTTGTAGAAAAATTCTGTAAAGACACTTTGTCAAAAAAAATTGGTATAGATTCTTTTGATATTATAGCATTGGTAATCAAGAAAAAGATTTTAGACTTCGAATCAAAGACCAAAGCAAATAAGAAAATCTCGATTCAATTCGGGATCGGTCTCTGATACATAAGCACACATGTATGTTGAAAATAGTGACGTCTGTCATCAAACTAAAAGGCAGAACTCAGTTGATAGGTCTCTGTTTCTCTTTATAATTATTTATTGTTTAACATTAGAAAAAAATGCGTCAACGATGGTTGGATGATTTTCAAATTTCTCATGCAGACTCGTATATTCATGTGCTTTCTATGTAATTGCAGCACTTTATTACTACTATCAAATTAGCTGATGTCCAGATGTTTAATGAATGAATAGTGGATGGGGAAAGAATGGAAAAAAATAACTCATCGATTGTTTGATACGGGAGCACCATAGCTACCATTTACATAATAAGAAACAGAATAATATTCTAATGTAGTAAGTAGCAAGTAAATTTTATGATTCTTTTTCCGCTGTATCTTTTTGAAAGAGAATAATAAGAGATACAGAAAAAGATTAGTCATTTTATTTATTGAAAGATATATTGTCACTTTCCTTCCATTATTACAACTCGAGAAAATGACAGATTATTAGCTCTATAAACTGCCCATAGTTCGACATTTGAACAAATTTCTTTTATCGGATATTTATGCTAAAGTTGCTAAAAAGTGTTGACCACCAAACATATTATGTTCAAAACAAAATTCTACCAATACACCCTTCATTATTTTTCTGAATACTCTGACAAGTGATTTCCATTCAGAACAGAATCTGTTGAAAGTATGTTTTGTATATTGTATAATTCATTCGACACCGTTGTTTGTTTTTGATTTTGAATAAGATATGCATTTACTTTAGAACTTCAACTTTGATCTTCTAAATCGCTGCATAAGAACATGTTCTTTCAATGTTTTGTCATGACATTGAGAGCTTTGTGTTGTTAAAAAAAGATACATAGTTACATGTCTAACGATATGAACAAATAAATAGAAAACTATTATTCTGCATGATTATTTAAACTAGGAGATTCTAATTGTTTAAGAGACAAATTTTGATTGAAATTCGATAAACTCTATTTCAGCCATCCTTTAAAATTAGGTTCAAAAAAGAATTTTTCAAATCTCAAATTGTCGCCACCTTGTATTTCGCTAAAATAAACATAGTAGCATGCAAGAAAATCATCCAAATGCTACAGTAAATAAGAATTTTGAAAGCATTTTTAGTTTCAATTTATTTCTCATGATCATTGAATTGTAGAAAGGTACAATGCAGTCACCATCTTGCTTCGTAAAACCTACATTAGATGCCCATTTAACTATCTAAGATTTCTATCTGTTGAGTGCACTGCAAAATTTAACTGTTAACGTTTCTCAACTTCTTAAAATGTGTACTGACAGATGCTGTGAAATGAAAATTACAATCAAAATAGTTATTTGAATAGCTTGATATTGTTTATGCTTTTTTTATTAATTAAAATATTCAAAAATCTAAAAATTTATTTTTCTATTTCGAATGCTTCAGAATTTGTCGATGACTTTCGCAGGACTAGTAAACTGAAGATTGAGGATTTCTTTCACAAATATACATATGGACTATTGTCACAAACAAAATGTTTCACCGATTATTGATGTTACTTATCAAAAACATGAAATTTCTGATATAGGTTTTCAAAATATTAAAATTGCAGTATGCTCATAGCATCTTAAACAAAGACTAGGTAGTTTAATCAGCTATTCCATGACGATCTTGATTTTAGAGAGGCAACTTCCAACTAGCGTAGATCAGTTAGAAGTTATACCAATATGAGGAAAAAGAAGAACTCATCAAGTAATGAAAACATGTGAAGCTTCAATGAAGAGAAATAGCCATTTTCATTACTAGTTTTTACATATTTATAAGTTGAAACAATAATGTTTATCGCTATAATCAAGTCGTTTTACATTCTTTTATTGAAATAATCTTCTTCTACATTGAGAATCAATAAGCGACTAATATAAATCTACTGCTGTCGCCAATCAGAAAGTGACATCTCATTATATTTGAATTGTGAATATCTCGCCTACGAGCCGCTTTTTAAAAGCGCGAGATAAATATGTTTCCACTTAACTCGTGCTAAATTTTGATCAGTCGCCAAAACTTACACGACACTACTTTTGAATAAAGTTTAAATTAAATATTGAATACTCATTGACGATAACCTCAGCTCACGATACAAGAAAAAACTCATAATGAATAGTTTTTTAGTAGTTATTCCTAACTATAATCTGTGCACTTTTAAACTCAAATATATCCATTGTGATACATCATGAATAATTCATAGTTTGCATTTGATAGTTTGATATGTTAAGTCTTCTTCATTTGGATTAGAAAGCTCTCAATTGTTCATTAATCCTTTGAGGACGGAATTTTTTTCATTGAATTCAGCTCCTCTGCATATACATCCAAATCTGCATCAGAAAGGTCAAGTTCATATAAGTTATCGACTAGTTCATCGCAATCAAAATCGAAGTCACTCTCGCTGCTGTCATCACTGGTATATGGATCACAGAATTCGTCATCGACTTCATTATTTCCATAGAATTTCATTTATTCTGTTTTAATTATAAAAACGGTATAAAGACATGAGGAGTACAAGTACGAAAGAGAAATGATATGCTTTACAAATTCAAGAACAATGTAAATTCGTCAATCAGAAGGGAAGTATATATATATACCCAATAGAGAATGAGAATATTCTCGAAAAACAAAAGATCAAAGAAGAAGAGAGAAATTATGACGTCACTGTACCTTAGCAGCAAGAACAAAGGATATTTTAAAAGAATTTATATGAGAGAAGAAAAGAAAGAAAAGAAAAGTATGAGATGACATATGCAGTTGTTTATGACCTTAATGAGCTTACATATTTAATAGTTTAATGTGAACTAAACACTTTTTTCCTGTACTGAAGAGTAGGTGGGTGAAAAATAACCCACCCGTCCTCAAAGGGTTAAAAATTTTGATGCTTTCTTTTTTAATAAATAAAATAGTATTCATGCAAGTGAAAACTAACAAAAAAACTGTCTCTAGACATACGAGAATTATAAAACAACGCAGAAAAGATCAAGTCGATCGAAGTCTATGTAAATCGTAGAGATTACATTTTTCTTTTCTATTTTTGTAGAATTTAATTTATTCAAGAATGTCAAACTCAAGCAACACGTCTACTGACGACAGTATTGATTTCTATCCCGATATTGCGTTTTCATATAGTTTTCGTTTTTGGCTTTTTCTTATATCAAATATTTTATCAATATTGTGTTGTTTCTTTGTTCTTTATCATTTATTATTCGATCGAATTCTTCGTCAATCATTGAATAATCATGTTGTTATAATTCTTCTTTTTATTTGTTTATTATATGAATTACTAGATGTCCCATGTATTCTTAATTTTTTTCGTTATGATTTTAATTGGAAATTTTCAGTAAGTTTTTCTGTATTCTGGTCATTTCTTGATTATGCACTATATGGAACTCAATTTA